TATACGAATTTGAGCAGTCGCTCCTTTTATTTGATTTATCAAAATATACCTATCTGTTGTTGTATTATTTACAAAACTATCTATAGCATTTGCTAACTCTCTGATTGTAGCCATTTCTAAGTTAATATTAGAATTATACAAGTCTAGAGAATTTTCATCAAAAGCAGTTTTATTTTCATTTAAATTCCATGCCTGTGTGTTTTGTAAAGCTTCTTGTGTATTTATAAGCTCTAACCTATCTCTATATCTCAATAATGTTAATGCAAAATTTTGACAAAGCAGATCTGTGATATAGTTTTTTTTGTTGTATTAATTTGTTAATCCTATTTATTTGATTAGTTCTTACCGTATTTATTTCTCGTTTAAGACGTTCATTCTTATCCACTAATCTAGTTGTATAACTTTGTGCTTTGGAGGTATTATCTGCAGATTTTGATATTTCTCGTATTCGAGTTTTTAATTTGGTTTCACGTTCATCGAATTCTGATATTAATTTATCTTTATTGGAAATTTCTTTGTCTTTCTTTTTATTTTCTTCTTCGAGCTGTCAGACAATTCTTTTTAATTTTAAAATTTCTTCTGTTAATTCTTCTTTGTCTTGTTTAAAAAGTTTGATAGCGTTATTTAACTCTTCTTCAAGAAATCGAATTCTTTCTTCCCGTATACCAATAATTCTTTCTAAGGTATATAGTCGTTGTTCGAAATTTCTATTTGATTCTGCTAATTGCGATACTACCTCGTGGAGTTCTTGATTACTTTGTTGTAATTCCTCTATTTTTTATTTACCATAATTTTTTACAGATTTAAAAGATATCTTAATTTTCTGGCTTCGAGCAAGAATTGCGAGAAGGCAGTTGAGAAATTGCTAAATCTATAAAAGAGAATCGGAATGGAAAAACCAGTTATTTATATCGATCTTCAGAGAGCACGCGATCTTGACCGGGATCTTACTTTGCAGAAGCTCTATTACCAACCTGAGGGCTATTATCGAACTGTTGAAAAATGCAAGATGCTTGCAAGAAAGCTGGATATGAGTTTACTTCAGCTAAAATAAAAAAATGGTTAGACTGTTAGGCTTTACATCAGATTCATAAGCCTCGGCCTAAATTTATTCAGTATGCTTCTTTTAACAATATACATTTTTTAAATAAAGTGCACCAATCTGATACTACACCTATGCCTCATAATAAAGTTGGTAATCAGATTTACAAGTATAGAGGTGTTATCAAAGATGTTGCAACTAGGTACCGTGTAGTTTCGCACTGACTGATAAATCTTTAGCACAAATGGCTAAAACGATTCAAAAAATTTATAATGATCCTAATGAACCAATTTCTTGGCCTAGTTGTTTTATTTCGGATAGGGGAACGGAATATATGGGGGATTGTAAGAGTTTATTACTCAGTTATAATGTAAAAATACAATATGCTAATTCTAAAGAAAACAATACTATAGCTAAACGTGACCACCAAGAGTTTGAAAAACATGCCTATATCCAGCAAGATGCAAAGGATTTTTTACTTCTCTTATCTGAAAGATCTAAAGATTGGGTTAGAAGTCTTCATATTAATGATGATATCTTTAATAATACTCCAACCCAATTGATAGGTATGTCTCCTAATGAAGCTGTGAAAAAGGTATTAAAAAGGAAGAAGATAATTGCAAACTAGCTATAAAACATAGGAGACCTATTGGATATGATGAACCTTGTTTATTCTATTATGACATAGTGAGATATCTTCTTAAGCTTGGCGAACTAGAACATGGTCCTGCTAAAAAAAGAATTACTGATATGAATTGGAGTCCTGAAATTTTTAATATTCAAAGAATTCTTGTACAAAAAAATCAAACCGTTTTATATTGGTTAGAAGATGGTCCAGAACGTTCATTTGTAAGAGAAGAATTGATGCTAATTATGCATTGCAATTTGCCCCCAAGATGGGTACTTAATTAATATTCACCTTTGTCTGCTATTAGCTCTTCTATTGTTTTACTAATTTCTTCTTCTGTCATAGGACGCTCTTCTTTAGATAAAGTATAGTAAAGGCTGTATAAATTTTTAATACTAGCAAGGAGTTCTTTCTTACCTTGATACCATTTCCTATATCTACTCATTCTTCTTTCATAGGCATCCTCATTTGGAAATAATATAATAGTAGTTGATTTTACATATTCATCAGGATTATTCTCTTGACGCAAATTTTTTATATATGTGACATATTCACTAACTAGCTTGCTATCTTTTTTGTAGCAAATATGTATTGCCTCTCTTATTATCTTAAGTTGCGCCTCCTCAATGCTTTTCCATGTAATATTACTCGCTGGGGTATTTTCTGTCATTGTATGCTAACACTAAGTCTTTGCTGTATAATAAAATGGTTAGTTTAAATTATAAATAAAAAAATCTAGAAAAAAAAATATTATAATATTATATGAAATAGTCGAGCTCATCTTTTATAAACCCAAATCCATCAATATTTCTTGAGAAATATTATTCCCATATTGCTCCAATGCAGATAGATAAGCCAGAATTCAACAATCCCCAATTCTCCATATCATTACTCGGTCATTTAATATCCATCTCTTGAAATCAAGTAGGTTGATACTCCTTTTTGTTTGGCGGATTATATATAGAACGAAATATTCACATTGCAAGAAGTTTGCAGTTCGGGGTTCATCCTCTATACCTTCTAAAATATAATGCTCATAAATATCAATAGTTAGTTCTTTTTTGACGAGAGATTTTTCGAGACCCTTTGCCTTCTGTATATTTTTATACTCATCTTCAGTTTCCAATGCATAAGACTTTGATCGGTTTTCAGCATATCTTAATGCTTGAGTTCCTGCAAACTCATCTTTCTACTTCCTAATCATTTTCTTATTTTTTAGCTCACATGAACCATCGGGAAGACATACCCATTGATCTGGAGGAAGTTTTTCAAGTAATGGTGGTCTTCAGGATAATCACTAAAATCATAGAGTTCTGCATCTTCAATCATGTCGGCATAGATATCCTTAGTCTCAATTTCGATAATTAGTGAGTCTGTATCGGTATAACATAATTTTGCACAATCTTCATACTTATGCTTGATATGATTATACCAGAAATCATACATATAATATTTACTAAGATCTAAAACTGAAGCTCCGATATAGATTGGCTTGTTAAGTACAACATTCGTTAGTCTCCGATGGACTGCTATAAGATTACTTCCATGAAATATTTTACGTCCAACTAGTGCCGGGTCTGCCAACATTTTACAAAGTCGATGCTCCTCTCCTATTGGTCATACTAAATCTACTCGTGTGCGATGCTGAACATCCTCCATAGTTTTTCCGAATACTGCATTGTTCATTAATTTCTATAGATCTCTTTCGAATACATTTTTTGCATCACAATGCCATATAGTATTTGCTGTAATATATAGCTCGAGCCAGGAAGATTGATCAAACTCTAATACACGGTATACATGCTCAAGTTCCATCCCTAGTTCAAGACACTGTTGGAGATTTCAGTAATAAATAATATAGCAATCTTTAGTCTCTAAAGTTGCTACCAATTTTTCTGTTTTCGCAAATTTTCTACTGCTCAGTTTATCAATTAAGTCGTTATTTTGGTATAGACTAAGCTCACTTCGCTTAACTACCTGACGTTCTGGGCAGAGCGGATAGTCACTATGTGTTAGATGAAGATTTTCTGGATATCTTAATTTTACTTCCCAAGTACTGCCTTATTTTGCAGTTGATGAAATAAACCGTATATCGGGCAAGTTGTTTATGTTAAGCCATCTAAATCCTCCTGTTGGCAAATATTGAGATATAGCCCATCTATATAAATTATTAGCATCTAGATAAAGAAGCTATTTGTTGGCTTTTCACTTATCATAACCTTTCATTCCCGGAAAATTGGCTTTTGCTATACGATATAGCGCCATAGAATTTCCACCTTGCATTCAACGTTGAATAAACTCATGCATATCCTTCTGCCCCTTATGGAATAATTCGAGCTTGACCTTAGTTATCTTTTTTGCCATATCAAATGCGAATGATGATAATGTTATATAGTTCAAAGGATCTAGTCCAGATACTTCCTTCATTGTTATTCGAAAACGCTGAATTGAGTTTGCTAATATTAAAACATCGGTTCTGAGGTATAAATCATGATAATTCCTGAATGTTTCACACTTTGCTTCCTCCCATACTTTCTGCGCATGGTCATATTGCTTTTGACTGATAGTGTAAATTTTTTCGTGCTCACAATCATCGTTCTCTTTTAAATCTCCTTCCTTACATTTTCTATTGCACTTTTTACTCTTTATTTCATGTTTGTACTTTTTACATCCATTCCTGCAATAATTTAGTCCGCCTAGTACTGTGTTAAATTCCTCTCTTGATGGGAGCTTTGTTTTTGTGAAGTGCTCAAGATCATTCCATTCGTATGGGTACTCACTTTTTTGTATAAGTAATGAAAGCAAATGCTAAGGAATACTCTGTCCATAATTGGAAAACATTTGGCCAATTGCTCTGGGTTTTTTTTTGACCACACAAATTACTTGCTACTTTTTCTAATAATGGAAATTGAAATTGGCAAGAGTCTATAAATTTTATCTGGCTAATTATTATCGTCTTATAGTTCTCCTAGTTGTCCACAATTATTTTGATTTTGTCTTCACTGATTAGGCCTAATTCCCGTATTTCATGATGGAAGTCATAATGCTTCCCACCATGATATATTAATGGGATCTTAATTTCATCTGGCTTAATACAGAGTTGAAGATTACAGCTACGGTGTGCTAGACCATGATATTTTCTAGTAAAATGATCATGATCTCTAACCTTGTTTTTATTTATATCAGCATGAAGTTTCATCTTACATATACAACATTTAGACGCTGTTTTGAATATATTTTCTTCTTCTATACTTAAACCTTCTGTATGATATATAGCCTCTGCAAGTTTTTCTTCTGTGGCCTCACATTTGATTTTAACACAGCCATAATGTGATGCACCTATGAATTTTCTGGAAGTATCAAAATATTTTACTTTATTATATCGGGTTTTATGTAGAGGACCTTCACATATATAACATTTTCTGGCAGAATTATGTGTTCGCCAATCACATTCTGTCATTTTTATTTTTTCTGGATTGCGCAACTTTGGCTTGATAATTTCTTCCAAGTCTCGTTGCATGCTTTCCCATAACTCTGCAATTGAGTTTGAAGTTCGCCTAACAATTTTTTTTGCAAGCTTCCTATCTGTTTTGATCAATGCATAGCTATAACTATTAGGCTTCTGCTTCTGTAGTTTAAGAGTCTTTTCATTGATAATGTTATTCTCTACTAGATCACTATCTGCTTCGAGATCTTTAACAAAATAAAATGGTACATTTTCTATTGCCTTATAATTTTTGAATTTCATAATGTGCTTACCTTTTTTTGGGAAGATTTCTCTTTGCCTAGCATTAGGATTATTTCAACCGTGGCAGTTGTACTTTATATGTTCTTCAAGCAGATCCTTTCTTGAAAATGGGGCAATCATACAGTGACGGCAGAAATATTTATACCCATGATGCTTATTCCAATTTCGCATGATCCTATTCCATCCATTTTCACCATTAATAAGACAGTAATGAGTATTTAATCCTGGAGAGATTTCATTAATATTACGGTGATTTCTCAAATTTTCCTCTCCTTTAGTAAATAAAATTAAATCCACCATATACTCTCTTTGATAATTATACTCCGATAAATGAAGTGGGTTTAACTTTCTAGTTGCTTGCTTTTTATCATTTTTTCTGGCGCAGGATAGAACACATTTATTGCGTAATTTGGATTATTTTCTTCGAATATATTGATATCACGTAATGTGGATGGAAAATTTATACCAGAGAAGTCTAGTATATTATTAAAGCATTGTAGCCTACTAACATCATGAAGATTTCTTGCTCTTCGACCCTGTCTACAGGCCTCTTCACTTGCTAAATAAGCTTTCATACATGCTTCGAAATATCTTTCGTTTGTATTTTGAAGATTAATTATCCCTAATTGAGGCTTGGTCTATATTTTTGGTAATGCAAAATAAAAACTGCCTTGAAGTGGTTGGTACACACTTATTTCTAGAAAGATCTTTTTTCCATACTTATATATTCAACCTGAATGTTGATTTCGCTCCATTTCATCGATTTTGTCTAAGGTTTCATTATACTGACATGAAACTGTTTGGTCTATTCTATCCTGGCAAATAATATCTAAAATTTCACTTGGAAATGCTATGTCTTGATCTATTCGATGTCCAAAATGCCCTCCTTGTGCAATCT